CCGGTGAAGCCGCTGGCGGTCAACACCAGGAGACTCCTTTGTCTTTGCAACGTTCATGACGGCTAGGTTTATACCCCGAGAACATCCTGCTTCTGAACTCCTGGCCATTAAGTGGACAGACGGCCAGAGAATATGATCTGATCGTGCTTTGTGACACTATTGATGTTAGTTGTGATGTATTCGTAGTTATGTTTTGGAAATATCATCTATCTAATCATACTAATGCAATGTTCGTTACTAGTGTCCTTTGGAAGGCCCAACAGTTGTACTTTTGAAATTGGGGAGATTGCCACGACGGCACAATATGTAGCGTAGATGCTGAGGCCAGGGTAAACGGCTGCCTACGGCCTTCATGCACCACGCGCTCATGGTGATGATCTACTGGCAATCTGGATTTACAAGTGCGGGAACATGCTACCGGGTAATTGGGATATAATTGACACGTGCTTGTGGGTCACATCTGCGGCAACGCACTGCGGCCGAAGGCTTCAGCTAGGCGGTCCTCCAACGTATGTTATAAGTACATCGTGTCTCATTCAGAGTAGACACATATGCTTCAGATATTTCCGTATATTAATCATGCTGTACCTACTATATTTGGTCTCGGTCTCGTTCACCGGCCATCGGGCTCGTATAGGGGCTCTGGGACCATAGCTCTAAGGCCAGTAAGCTCAGCGCTCATGTTGATGGCAGTCCGTTATTCTAGTTTTATCCAATTACATGAACATGTAAGCAAGCTACTTGAGTGATCGAGTACAGGAAGACGGCCGAAAACATGTCCATATATAGTATCTCGTTGTGTGGTGTAGCACTGCGCCGTGTACCCTAATTCCGGCCCTTGGGAACGGCTCTCGTCTACATCATCAGCCCGGATAAATAATTTCATTTGCATTTGCCTCCTTCTGGCTCCTCGATTCCCGCTAATGACAAAACGATAGACCGCGGTGCCACCCGCACATGCGTGCCTTGTTTGGCTCAGCTGCCTGTTAGGTACCAGTCTGGTAATGGGGCAGCCGGCGTGATTGGACTGAACAACTGGGAGGCATACTGTCTTCATGTCAAGCATAGTTGCACCCGAGCAACAATACCTGCTGTGAGATTGCTGCAGCAGATCACTTTCAGCCACGAGTACTTGAATAGGCAGGTGAGCCAAATAGAAGGGTCAGGTTGAAGTCCAAGCTTCAAATCTATTAGCGCGTTCCAGAGATTTTCTAAGGTACGGAGATGTGCACTATACGAATATTTGATAGCGGATTATATTCTCGTTCGCCCGAGGCATACCGAGTCCACGGCCCTATTCTTGGCGATACAGGCTGCCCTTCAATTCATGGAGCTGGACAATGACTGTCTTGCTTAGATATCATTAAGTGACCATGATACAATAGATTTGACAGAAAATAGTGTATATTGACCCGTGCGACGAACGCAGTGTGTTGTACGCACTTAGTGACACCGCGACTGTCTTAGCAGGAGTTTACAGATAGTTGTCGCACGACCCCACGTTGTGCGGGAGCGAATGATGAGCGAACAGTAGTTTTTCTTCAGGGACGACGCAATCTCCTCACGGTCATATAACGCATGCTGATGAAACTGTATTCGAACCGGTATGCGAGGACAACAAAATCCACACAACATGTCTGGCGCACGGCGAAGCAGTCGAGGTTGAATATGCTAGCCAACATTTACGAAGACGAAGATACGGTCCGCAGACATAAATGAGTGCGGATCAGACCGACGACGCGGATGACAGCGCCCTTAACGCGGCCATGTTCGGTCTTGATTACTTGAATAGTCCGACGACGTAGTCCTGAAAGTAAGTTGTCAGTCCTGTGCATCCCCGTGCAGATGCAAACGCACGTTTGTGCCAACGTAATGGTTCCATGCCATGCTTTCCACTCTTCTCAGCATTCAGATCTAGATCAACCGGAGAGCTCTCGCTTTTCGGCGCAGTAGCATTTGTCTCTGCAAATGCAGTGGCATTGCGTGCACGGGACTCCTTGATGATCCTAAGCAGAATTTGGCTTCAGTCGTATCGACTACGACACATTCCTGCGACTCACGCAATGATTGCTTCCTGCTCGTCGAGGAAGCCGAGAGGGTCCATAATACGCTCGATCGACATCAGCTCCTGCGACGCCTCGACCAGCGGAATGATGTCCAGATCGTCCACAGCTCTCTCCGCGAATGCGAGCTGTGTGAAGTCACGTTCGGACGAGTCGACGCTCTCAGCGTCGCCATCCGAATCTGATACAATCATAGATGATGCGGAGTCACCGTCAGGCCCGTCTTCTTGGTTGGCCTCCTGGTCCAACGATGCATCGCCATCGTGGTCCGACTCGGGTACCACGAAGTCGTCGAGGGAGTCTCTTTCGGCGTCACTCCGGCGCAAATCAGGTGAGGGCAGCCCTCCGTAATCGTGACGTTCCCAAGTAATGACGGTATCTGGATCTGGACCAGGGACACCTTTCTCGCGCATGAGTATCGCACGCCTGAGGAAGTCGTCGGCAAGGAATCTATTATGCTCATGGGTCTGACGCGGCGACATCCAGATTGCAGTTCGCGGCTCGAAATCCTGCGTCGGCACGCGCACTGTGGTGTCGACGAGGGAATA